GTAGCTGCCAGCCTCGCACGGCAGCGCCGCCGCCGCGCCAACAGCGCAGTAGCTTCCCGCCTCGCACGGAAGGCAGCTCGTCGCGTTCGACTCGCCCTGGTACGTCCCGCCCGCACAGCTGGCGCACTCGGAGAGGCCGGCCGTGGCGGCGAAAGAGCCCGGCGAGCACTCGGAGGGCGGCGCCGCCCCGCCGCCGCACGACGAGCCGGTGGGGCAGTCGAGGCACTCGGGGTCGCCGCTCCGGTCGGTCAGCCTCGCGTACGTGCCCGCCTCGCACTGCGCGTCCAGCTCGCGCGACGACCCCACCGGGCAAAACTTGCCAGCAGCGCAGCGGACGCAGGCGGCGGCGGCGGGCTGGTCCTGGTAGTACCCCTCGGGGCACAGCTCGCACGCCTCGTTGCGGGTGCCGTTGGCGAAGCTGCCCTCGCGGCACGCCGTCTGCTCGGTGGAGCCGGTGGTGGCGAAGTGGCCCGGCGTGGCGTCGGTGCACTCGCTCGCGTCGGTGAGGTTGGTGGCGCTCGAGTAGCTGCCAGCCTCGCACGGCAGCGCCGCCGCCGCGCCAACAGCGCAGTGGCTTCCCGCCTCGCACGGCTCGCACGCCGTCTTGCCTTCCTCGTCCTGGTACGTGCCGCCGGCGCAGGGCGTGCACGCGCCCTGCCCGTACGCGTCCGTGTACGACCCCTTGGCGCACGCCGTCTGCTGCGTGGAGCCGGTGGTGGCGAAGTGGCCCGGCGAGGCGTCGGTGCACTCGCCCGCGGCGGTGAGGTTGGTGGCGGTCGAGTAGCTGCCCGCAACGCACGGCAGCGGCGCCGACGCGCCCTCGGCGCAGTAGCTGCCCTCCACGCACGGAAGGCAGCTCGTCGCGTTCGACTCGCCCTGGTACGTCCCGCCCGCACAGCTGGCGCACTCGGAGAGGCCGGCCGTGGCGGCGAAAGAGCCCGGCGAGCACTCGGAGGGCGGCGCCGCCCCGCCGCCGCACGACGAGCCGGCGGGGCAGTCGAGGCACTCGGGGTCGCCGCTCCGGTCGGTCAGCCTGGCGTACGTGCCCGCCTCGCACTGCGCGTCCAGCTCGCGCGACGACCCCACCGGGCAAAACTTGCCAGCAGCGCAGCGGACGCAGGCGGCGGCGGCGGGCTGGTCCTGGTAGTACCCCTCGGGGCACAGCTCGCACGCCTCGTTGCGGGTGCCGTTGGCGAAGCTGCCCTCGCGGCACGCCGTCTGCTCGGTGGAGCCGGTGGTGGCGAAGTGGCCCGGCGTGGCGTCGGTGCACTCGCTCGCGGCGGTGAGGTTGGTGGCGCTCGAGTAGCTGCCAGCCTCGCACGGCAGCGCCGCCGCCGCGCCAACAGCGCAGTGGCTTCCCGCCTCGCACGGCTCGCACGCCGTCTTGCCTTCCTCGTCCTGGTACGTGCCGCCGGCGCAGGGCGTGCACGCGCCCTGCCCGTACGCGTCCGTGTACGATCCCTTGGCGCACGCCGTCTGCTGCGTGGAGCCGGTGGTGGCGAAGTGGCCCGGCGAGGCGTCGGTGCACTCGCCCGCGGCGGTGAGGTTGGTGGCGGTCGAGTAGCTGCCCGCAACGCACGGCAGCGGCGCCGACGCGCCCTCGGCGCAGTAGCTGCCCTCCACGCACGGAAGGCAGCTCGTCGCGTTCGACTCGCCCTGGTACGTCCCGCCCGCACAGCTGGCGCACTCGGAGAGGCCGGCCGTGGCGGCGAAAGAGCCCGGCGAGCACTCGGAGGGCGGCGCCGCCCCGCCGCCGCACGACGAGCCGGCGGGGCAGTCGAGGCACTCGGGGTCGCCGCTCCGGTCGGTCAGCCTCGCGTACGTGCCCGCCTCGCACTGCGCGTCCAGCTCGCGCGACGACCCCACCGGGCAAAACTTGCCAGCAGCGCAGCGGACGCAGGCGGCGGCGGCGGGCTGGTCCTGGTAGTACCCCTCGGGGCACAGCTCGCACGCGTCGTTGCGGGTGCCGTTGGCGAAGCTGCCCTCGCGGCACGCCGTCTGCTCAGTGGAGCCGGTGGTGGCGAAGTGGCCCGGCGTGGCGGCGGTGCACTCGCTCGCGGCGGTGAGGTTGGTGGCGGTGGAGAACGTGCCCTTTTCGCACGGCAGCGGCGCCGACGCGCCGTTGGCGCAGTAGTGGCCCTGCTCGCAGTCGCGGCAGGAGGTCGCGCCCGTGTCGTTCTGGTAACGGCCCGCAGGACAGTCCTTGCACTCACTCAGCCCGGAGGCATTGCCGTATGTTCCAGCCCGGCAGCTCGCGCACGTCTCGCTTTTTTTCTCGCCGGTGGTCGGGCTAGAGGTGCCGGGGGGGCATTGCTGACAGTCATCGGATGAGCTGCTGCCCTGCCCCTCGTTGTAGGTACCTGCTGGACACGGCGTGAAGCCGCCGCCGCACGTCGCAGCGGCGTCGCAGTATCCGCCCGTGGCACACGTGTCGCATGACGTCTGGCCGCGCTCAGCCTGGAACTGGCCAGCAGGGCAACGCGTGCACGCGGCCTGGCCGGTGAGGTCCTGGTACTCGCCCGCAGGGCAAGCAAAGCACTCGTCGACGGCGACGGCGTCCGCAAAGCTGCCTGTAGGGCACTCGACGCAGCTGGGCTGGATCCAGGTGGTGGGGTCGCTCTCTGTGCGCGCCGCTGCGGCGCTGGTGTTGTAGAAGACGCCCGGCTTGTCCTTGCAAGCGGTGCACGCGTCGCTGCCGAGCAGGCGTTCGCCGAGGGGGCACGGGTCTGTCGCGCAGAGCTCTCCGACACCGGGCTGCTGCAGAAAGTCGGGGAGGCACTCAACGCAGGAGGTGCCCGCGAGTCCCATGTAGGAAGGGCACTTGAAGCACCAGCTCTTGCCGTGGAGCTGTGCACCTCCGTGTGAGCAGACGCGCCCAAAGAGGACCTGGTTCTCTGCGTTGAAGTTGCCGACCACGATGTCCATGACCCCGTCCCCGTCGACGTCCGCCACAGAGGTGGAGTAAGTGCGCCTGCTCCCTCCACGGAGAGCGAACCGGTTCGCGGCCTCGGAGAAGGTCCTCCCGTCCGCGCTGCCAAACAGGACCTGGTTCTCGTCCCAGCCGTTGCCGACCACGATGTCCATGAATCCGTCCCCGTCGACGTCCGCCACCGAGGTGGAGTAAGTTTGCATGCTCCCTCCAGGAAGGGCGACCTCGGAGAAGGTCCTCCCGTCCGCGCTCCCAAAGAGGACCTGGTTCTCTACGATGTAGTTGCCGACCACGATGTCCATGTACCCGTCCCCGTCGACGTCCGCCACAGAGGTGGAGCAAGTGCTCCTGCTCCCTCCAGGAAGGGCGGCCTCGGAAAAGGTCCTCCCGTCCGCGCTGCCAAACAGGACCTGGTTCTCTGCGTTGTAGTTGCCGACCACGATGTCCATGTACCCGTCCCCGTCGACGTCCGCCACAGAGGTGGAGCGCGTGTCCCTGCTCTCTCCAGGAAGGGCGACCTCGGAGAAGGTCCTCCCGTCCGCGCTCCCAAAGAGGATCTGGTTCTCTTGGTTGTTGTAGTTGCCGACCACGATGTCCATGTACCCGTCCCCGTCGACGTCCGCCACCGAGGTGGAGTAAGTGCTCCTGCTCTCTCCAGGAAGGGCGACCTCGGAGAAGGTCCTCCCGTCCGCGCTCCCAAAGAGGATCTGGTTCTCTTGGTGGTTGTAGTTGCCGACCACGATGTCCATGTACCCGTCCCCGTCGACGTCCGCCACCGAGGTGGAGTAAGTGCTCCTGCTCCCTCCAGGAAGGGCGACCTCGGAGAAGGTCCTCCCGTCCGCGCTCCCAAAGAGGATCTGGTTCTCTTGGTTGTTGTAGTTGCCGACCACGATGTCCATGTACCCGTCCCCGTCGACGTCCGCCACAGAGGTGGAGTAAGTGCTCCTGCTCCCTCCAGGAAGGGCGACCTCGGAGAAGGTCCTCCCGTCCGCGCTCCCAAAGAGGATCTGGTTCTCTTGGTTGTTGTTGTTGCCGACCACGATGTCCATGTACCCGTCCCCGTCGACGTCCGCCACAGAGGTGGAGTAAGTGCTCCTGCTCCCTCCAGGAAGGGCGACCTCGGAGAAGGTCCTCCCGTCCGCGCTCCCAAAGAGGATCTGGTTCTCTTGGTTGTAGTTGCCGACCACGATGTCCATGTACCCGTCCCCGTCGACGTCCGCCACAGAGGTGGAGTAAGTGTTCCTCTTCTCTCCAGGAAGGGCGACCTCGGAGAAGGTCCTCCCGTCCGCGCTCCCAAAGAGAATCTGGTTCTCTTGGAGATCGTAAATGTCGTGGCCGAGCACGATGTCCATGAACCCGTCCCCGTCGACGTCCGCCACCGAGGTGGAGTAAGTGCGCCAGTGCGCTCGTCCCGGAAGAACGACCTCGGAGAAGGTCCTCCCGTCCGCGCTCCCAAACAGGACCTGGCTCTCTTCGCCGACGTTGCCGACCACGATGTCCATGTACCCGTCCCCGTCGACGTCCGCCACCGAGGTGGAGCGAGTGGTCCTGTTCCCTCCAGGAAGGGCGAACTCGGAGAAGGTCCTCCCGTCCGCGCTCCCAAACAGGACCTGGTTCTTTGCGCCGGAGTTGCCGATAAAGGTGTCTGCGCCGTTGCCGACCACGATGTCCATGTACCCGTCCCCGTCGACGTCCGCCACCGAGGTGGAGCGCGTGTACGTGCTCCCTCCAGGGAGGGCGAACTCGGAGAAGGTCCTCCCGTCCGCGCTCCCAAAGAGGACCTGGTTCTCTTGGTTCTGGTTGCCGACCACGATGTCCATGAATCCGTCCCCGTCGACGTCCGCCACCGAGGTGGAGCGCGTGTACGTGCTCCCTCCAGGAAGGGCGACCTCGGAGAAGGTCCTCCCGTCCGCGCTCCCAAAGAGGACCTGGTTCTCTTGGTCGTAGTTGCCGACCACGATGTCCAGGAACCCGTCCCCGTCAACGTCCGCCACCGAGGTGGACTGGGTGCTCCTTCGTCCTCCAGGGAGGGCGACCTCTGCCAGGTAGTCGGCCACATCGCCCGCCAACTCTAGCGAGCCGTTCCACGCTGCCAGTGGCGGCAGGACCGTCGTTGGCACACCGATGCACCCAAACCGGTCAGGGGCGGAGCAGTCTGGCACTGGCGGGTAAGCAAAACTGCCGTTGGGGCGGACGGCCGGCAGCGGGAAGCGGCGGCGGCCGTCTGCGGATGGGGTTTGGTCGAGGAAGAGTGGAGGGGGCGAGGGCGGCGGCGGCGGCGGCGGCGGCAGCGGCGGCGACGGCGGCAGCGGCGGCGGCGGCGGCGGCGGCGGAGGCGACGGTGGTGGGGGCGGCGGAGAGGGCGGAAGAGGCGGGGTCGGCGGCGGGGGAGGCGGCGCGGGCGAAGCGAAGACGTAGAACTTGCACACCGTCAGCCCCGCCGCAGACGGCCGGTTGAGGTAGATGTAGCGCCCCAGCGCGTTGATCTCCACCTCCAACATCACGTTCGACGACACGCTCACGTCCGACTTCACCAGCGCGTTGCCCGTGTACGTCTCCGCCGTCGAGCCGAGATAGATGTCGACGTCCGTCAGCCGCTCCGCGCAGCAGTCGTTGCGGTTCTGCAGCCGCACGTAGCGCACATACACCTCGCTCCCGAGGTCGACGCCCCACCATTGGCTTGTGTAGTGGCCGCACTCGGCCCACGGCCGTCCCGTCGTGCTGTCGGCATATGAAAGATCGCTCACGGGCGCCTGCTTGTCGAACAAGCTCGAGTCCTGGTACGTGGTGGCCGTGCGAAGGTCGAGCAGCTGCGCTGCTGGTGGCACTGGCGGGTAAGCAAAACTGCCGTTGGGGCGGACGGCCGGCAGCGGGAAGCGGCGGCGGCCGTCTGCGGATGGGGTTTGGTCGAGGAAGAGTGGTGGTGGGGGCGGCGGAGAGGGCGGCGGCGGCGGCGGAACGGGGGTAGGATCCGCAGGAGACGCAGCCGCGTTGCAGACGAGCAGAGCGGCGGCGCCCACGCGGACGAGAGTGGCGGTCATGCCGGCTTGCGAGACGAGCCCAGCGAGGCCAGCCTCAACAAGCTTCCGCACCTTGATCCCGGGCTTCCCAGCGTCGGCGGGCCGCAACTTGGGCGACGTGTCGACGGGCAGGACTGTGTCGCGCCCCCGAGCGATGATCCCCGTCCTGTTGCTGTAGACGGGACCGACAAAGTCGATCTCGGGCTCGCCCTTGCGCTCCGTGCTGTTGCGCGAGGCGAGGACGGTCTCCAAGTCGGCCTCGCCCTGCACGCAAACACACAGGCAATCCGTCAGAGGGCAACAACGGCTCGCACGCAGAAACAGCCGAGGGGCGCTCACCGGCTGCTCGTAAACGTCCTTGACGGACGCCGGCGGCTGGCCAAGCACGTGCAACGGCTCGCCCACCGCCTCTTTGACGTTGTCCATCAGTGCTTCCAACAAGCGCCCCTCCTCGTGCCCGCCCTGAACAGCGCGCGGGCTGTGGGTCACGAGCTGGCGCGGTGCGGGTACTAGCAAGCGCGAGCGAGCAAGCACCGGGTGGTCGGCGGGCACGCTGTCCGAAGAGGCGATGGCTGCACACGAGCTGCTGGTGTCGTCGCCGCCAATCTCGCAGAAGCCGTTAAGCCATGCCGGCGCGATCGGCGTTGTGACTGCGGGAAAGGAAGTCGGGGACTCGTGCCACTGCGAGGAGAGAAGCGCGGAGGTGGCAGAGTACGAGGAGAGCGCAAACGCGGTTCCGAGGCAGAGCAGCGCGAGGACGCCAAAGAGGCGGAGCGAGTAGGACGGGCAGAACTTGGGCCAAGAGAACCAGCCGGAGGCAGAGACGGAGCCCTCCGGCGTGGTAATCGTGGTCGTCTCGACGTTGGCCGTCGCGCCCTGAACAGGAGGGCGGGAGACTGGCGGTTGAGCGGCGAGCGGGGGAGGAGGCCGCATGTATGCAGGCGGCGAGCACCGAGTCTGTGGTCGACGGCGTGGAGCCGCGGGGCACCTTGCCGGTGCCGCCGAGGATGCCCTCGTTGCCGTTCGTTCCGAGCAGGGCCCCGAACCGGTTGTTGCCGCCGACCGGGGCGGTGCTCTTGGCGCGGACGATCGGGGCGGACGCGCCCTTGCGCCCCTTCTTGCGGCGCTTCTTGCGGCGCGGGTTCGACGGGGTGGTCCTGTCGGGGATGCCCTGCGCACGCGCAAGCGGTGGGTGCGTCAACAGTTGAGGCTCTGCGTTGCACCGCAGCGTGCGAGGCGCTCACCGCCGGGGCGAGCTTCTCCGCTGGCGGAGACTCCTTGGCCGAGACGGTCCAGTCGGCGTCGCCCTACGCATCAATGAAAGCGGGGTGGGTCAAGGGGTGGGTCGGCAGACGCACGGCGCAGAATGCAAGGCGCTCGCCGCCGCGGCGGGCGTCTCCTCCGGAACCTCCTCGCTCGACGGCAGCGGCGCGCCGCCGGTCGCCACCGGCGTGAGAGCCGGGGCGTTTGTGGTGCCGCCGTTGGGGGCCGTCGGTGGGTCGGTCGGGGTGGTGCTCTTGGAACAGTCGACCAGGTTGGGCTCGCCCAACCCGTTGGGGTCGACGCGGCCGATCGGGGTTGGGTTCTTGGTGGTCTTCTTGGAGCGGTCGATCAGGTTGGGCTCGCCCTTGCGCTCGATCTTGCGGAGCGGGGAGGGGGTCTTCCACCCGTCGATGACCTGCGCGCGCGTGCCGTGCGGCAGACGAGAGGTCACAGGGTCAATGTAAGTGCCCGCCTGTTGGACTCGCGTGTCCCCGCAATACCCGCGGGTGCTTCTGCTGGGAGGTGCTCACCGTCGGGGCGGCCGTCTCCTCTGGAAAGTCCTTGTTCGAAACGTTCCAGTCGCCCTACGCGTCGAATGCGGGGTGGGGTTCACAGAGTGGGCCGGCAGACGCCGGCGCGCACAATGCCAGGCGCTCGCCGCCGGGGCGGCGGGCTTCTTCTCCGGAAAGTCCTTGATCGACGGCAGCGGCGCGCCGCCGGCCGCCGCCGGCTTGAGGGCCGTGGCGACCTTGGTGGCCGGCTTGAGCGCCGGGTCGTTCTTGATGACGCCGGTCTCGTCAACGCAGGCCTCCGCGCCAGACTCTGCCGCAGGGATGTCCTTCTTGAGGGGCGTAAACTTGGACCAGAAAACGGCGGGCGGGCTCGGCGCGTGGGTGGCGAACATGGCCTTGGGCTTGTCCGAGTCGACCGCGCCCGCGTCGGGCGCCTTTACCGCGGCCGGCTCCTTCTTGAGGACGTCCTCCGTGCCAGACTTCGCCACGGAGATGTCCTTGACGCTCTTGACGCCGCACGCCTGTGGGCGAGGGAGAGTACGCGCAGGCTTTCGGAGACGGGAGAGGGATGATCACAATCCTGGCGTGCGCACGCGCACCTTGGCTCCGAGGAGCGAAGGCGACACCGACTCGGAGATGACGATCGTGATGCGGCCGTCGTCAGCCGGCACGATTCCGACCTTCGCGAAGGACTTTATCGGCGACAACTCGCCCGCGACGTTGCCGCCGCCCGCGTCAATGCCGTCCTTGAGCGGGCTGGGCTCGCTCTCGGGCGGGATGCCGACGGCCTTGGCCTTGGCCTTGGCCGAGTCGACCGTGCCCGCGGCGGGCGCCTCTGCCGAAGGGTCTTTCTTGATGATGCTCTCGTCGGAGGCCTCCGCGCCAGACTTTGCGGGGACGTCCTTCACGAGGGCGTTCTTGGCGCCGCACGCCTGTGGGCCAGGGACGATACGGCGGCGTTGGGACGGGAGATCGCGCTGATAGGATGAACACGCGCATAGACAGGCACCTCGGCTCCGAGGAGCGAAGGGGATTCCGACGCAAACGAGAGGACGATTGTGACTCGGCCTCCGTCGCCGGCCGGCACGAAGCCAACCTTCGCTTTGTAGTCGATGTTGTCCATGATCGAGTTGTCCTGTGCAAGTCGCATCATCATGAAGGTTGAGACGGGCCCTTGCATTGGATGTGCACAAACAGCTATATTCGCTTTGTGGAGGTGTACGGGGTCTGAACTGAGAGGGACGGGGGACGGGGGACAAAGTCGATCAGCCTGCGGGGCGGGGTGGGGTGCGGGAAGCGGGCTCAAGATGCTTGGACACGCGCGGCAGCTGGCTGGCAGAGGAGGGGCGGCAGACGCTCGGCGACGAAGGGCTGTAACTGACGGCAGAAAAGGCGGTGGGCGGACAGGCGGAGGCGGCGGTCCCTAAAGGGCGGCGGCGGCGACGGAGACGGCGGAAAGGCAGCCGACGACGGCGTCCACGATGATCCAGCTCGTCGATATTGAGAACAACGATATCGGGAGCGTCAACAGCTTTCCGCACCCCGGGCCTGTGTATTTTGAACTGGTCCCATTCGCGGGCGGG